ATCACCATCACTACCATCACCATCATCACCATCAAAATCATCTCTATCACCACCATCACCATCACCACCATCAACATCATCACCATCACTACCATAAGCAGCAGCAGCAACAGCAGCAGCATCATAGTAATCATCAGAATTAGCTGTGCCTCAGAAACCAAATCTTTACGCCTGCCCTTCCCTACAAACTTGTCAAATGGGTGTGCAGGGGTGCCAAGCCACAAGATTAACCCAGCACACCTACCAGACCATCTGTACTCTGAAAATATTCTTAGGTAACAATTCATAAGGTTTTCTGCCAACTAGAGAAGCAGATATTAAGCCTTTGTTTTTTTAGTTTGTTTTGGGGGTAACAGGGGTCAAAAGCAGGGCCTAGCATTGGACACCAGGCAAGCGCTCTAGCATTGAGCTGCATTCCCCCTAAGACTTCTTCAGATTTTATTTTAAGGCAGGGTCTCACTAAATTGCCTAAAGTGGCCTCAAACTTGGATCCTCCTGTCTCAGCCTCCGAGTGGCTGGGATTACAAGCAGGGACTACGGCACCCAGCTGCCATGAAAGTTTTTAAAAATGAATGCACCTCAACTGATTACAAATCTCTTGCCTGGAATACAGGCCCTCAGCTGAAAGGAACAGAGACAGGAAGGAGGAGAATGGAAAGGTAAGTGATGGGAACCTCCCCTAGAAGGCCCCCCGCATAATTCCCCTCTTCTGTGGCTGCCCTGAAGACCCAACGGCCAAAAGCAAGCTTGCTGGACCCTCCCCTCTGTGTTCCAGACCAGATTCCTTTCAACGGACTTACCCAAGTTGAAGTTCTCACAGGCTGGAAAATGTGGGGAGCTTATTTGCAAGCCAGGATCATATCTGCCTAGCAACCCAGCCCGAATACTTGAGGGGCTAAACGTGGACAGAGAACCAGCAGGCCAACTTTGCACAAAGCAATCTGTTCTCATGCAAATGCCCCTAAGCAAGGATAGAAAGGACAGAGCCCTGGACATCTCAGGGAGCCAGTTTTTCCCGAAAAGATGCTGAGCGACTCTTTAAGGGCACCATGACAGCCTTGCCCCCTGTAAAGGAAGGGCTGGAGGGGGCTCTGCCTGCCGACTGGGCTCCATCAGACCTGCAGAAGCAGCGAAGAGACGCCCGAACCCTGTACTTAATTTCCTGACCCTTCTGATCCTGTACTCCAGACTCCAAAGGTTCTTTTGTTCTTGTTTAGAACTAAACAGTTAATTTTATTTGGGGGGTTTTGATTAGCATGGTAATGCAGTACTTTCCCTGGATGAGGGAAAACAAGTAGCAGTTCTCATGCTTGGCCTCACTAGGGAACAAAATGAAGCCAGTCTCTAACCAGGGCAGGCAAAAATCACCTGCCTGTGGCTAGCAAGGCTGGGTAGCTCCATCTCCGGGACCCAGACGGCTGATGTCAGCTCCGGATGAGCTCTTGTTGCAAACAGGGCTGCTGTGTATCTACTAATGTGGTCTCACCCGGGCGCATCCTTCAGTGCTCTGTGCCTCAGCTTCCCTCATCTATAAAACGGAAATAGCGAGTGTCATGTGTACGGGTTGCTGACGGGGTCAAAAGTCACACAGATGGCACTTCCTACAATGTTGGGGACCAAGAAAACATAAACATACTAACTGTAACTAATGCTAACAAAAATAAGATCAATACACATTAGCAGTGACACTATATTATACACAAGCCCCCCTCCAGCTAGATTTCACTTGATCAGATATGGGCAACTGAGTTTTCCAATACTAAAACATGAGACCCTAAATATCAAAGGTTAGGATTACAGGACCTTCAATTTTAACAGTGAGTGTTTCATTTTAGTGATTAAAATATTTTTTTTCCTTTTTTTTTTTTTTTTTGAGATAGGGTCTCACTATGTAGTACAGGCTGGCCTTGAACTTGGGGTGATCCCTCTGCCTCAGCCTCTCCAGTGCTGGGATCTCAAGCATGGGCCACCATACCTGGGCTATAATCCATTTCTTAATATCAGCACATGTGGATTTTCTGAGGAACAACTCAAAAGGCTCTCTGGGTATATGTAGCAGTCCTAATAATAACAAGAACTAATCCGTGCCTAGGATTTACCTTATGCCAATCACGATGACCTACATTTTGCTGGTATTATAAAATAAAATATGGGAATTATTTCCATTTCACAGATTTGGTGCTCAACCCTCTCCAAAATTAAATCAGTCCTTCAAGATTCCAAAACTGGGTGTGGGCCTGCAACTGGGAAGGCTGAGGCAGGAGAATCACCGAGTTTAAGGCCAGCCTGTGTTACACAGTGAGTTCAAAGCCAGCCTGAACACATATCGAGACCCTGCCTCAGAATAAAATAAAATAACAAAACAAAATAAAATCCTGCAAAACTACTTTAGATGCACACAGTGGCCATCACCAGCAACTCTGCACCAACACAACCAGCTCCCTACCTAACCCACACGGGAGTTTAACAGCAAAGAATGGCATTTAATCCAGCAAACCGGATCCCCAGATCGTGAGGGAACTCAGTGACCAAGGAACAATTTTTATTAAAATGCAGATCCCCGGCTTCCCCCCGGCGGCAATCCTCCGTGCACACTCCCCAAGTAGGCTCTCTGAAGTTTCTGACATTAGAACCACATTCTCTGAACCAACTCCTTTCGAGGGAACGACCCGTACCAAAGTCCGCAGGACTACGCGGAGAACGCGGCCTTTGCTCCGGAGCGCTCCGATTTGCCCTGGGGCTGTGATGTGGTGCACCAGAATCCAAGTTTCCGCCGTCTTGGGCTCGGAAATGCCTGCGATCCTTTGACACACGATTTGTTCCTTTGAGGAATTCCTATCTCAGGTATCCCGTGCACCATCAGCGTAGTTTACAGCGGCCTTAAGACCTGGCACTTCGGGGTGAGGGGCAGCCGCCCCCTAAACCTGCGGGTCCCCTGCGCGGGGATCCCGGGCCGGCAGCCTGCACCTGCGCGGGGAGGCGCGCGCGCGCGGGCCGGGGATGCTGACTCAGCCAGGCTGAGCACATCCCTCTCGCGCAGCGCGGATGCTGTGGCTGCTCCCGCTGCAGCAAAATGGGGGGAAGGCAGCGCGGCACCCGAAGGAGCCGGGCGGCGTGCTCCCCGGGGCCCACTGCGGCACTCCGTCCGCACCCCCGGAAGGGGAACCGCGGGGGTGCGCGAGTTGGCGGCATCGGGGGAAGCGGGCGCTGGAGCAGGAACTCGGGCGCCGCGCGCGCAGCTCACACCCAAACTGGAAGGAACCTGTTCTGCCCGGGGCGAGCGCGGAGCCGCCGCTCCCGCC